ATGATAGTCCGAAGTATGTATCGTTTTTCCTATGAACAATATTTTCAATAAAAAGATTTTTATTTTGTAACATATAGATGGTTTGTTATTAAAGATAGTTATATAGTTGATATACGACCAGATACACATGAAATATGTTTTCCTATGTTAGTTGATCGTGATTTTCAAGTTTTCACTGGTATTCAAAATATTGCTAGTAATGATAGTATTAAAATAAGCAATTCACAGCGTACATTAGTTATTAATTGTCGAACAGCACGTGATTGTGATGAATGGACAAAAAATTTATCAAATTTAACTGAACAAGCAAAAGATTTTGTCAGTGAAACACGAAGTCGATTTGATTCATATGTACCTGTTCGAGCAAATCAATTAGCTCATTGGTAACATAATAAAATAAACTTGTATTAAAATAGAATGTTTAATATAGGTTTATTAATGGTAAATCATATATGGAAGCCGTTGCTAAAGCACTTTTAACAGCTAAAGAAGAAGTTTTTATTACTGATTGGTGGCTTTCACCTGAACTTATGTTGATTAGACCAGCAGATGATAAAACATTTCGACTTGATAATATATTAGGAAGAATAGCTGTATGAGTTTGATTTGTTTTAATATTTATGTTTGTTAAAATGTTATCTGTGAATTGTAGGATGCAGGAGTTCGTGTTTATGTAATGCTTTATAAGGAAATGCCATTTGCTTTAGGTTTAAATAGCTTATATACAAAAAGAAAATTAGTTTCGAAAAATGCAAAAGGATTTATTAAAGTCAGTTTAATATTTTAATTCAAGATAACAAAAATAGCTTATTTACTTTAATTTCTAAGGTTATTCGACATCCAAATCATAATACTACGAATGGAGTACTGTTGTGGTCTCATCATGAAAAAATGGTTGTTATCGATCAAAAGATTGCCTTCGTTGGTGGAATTGATTTATGTTATGGTCGTTGGGATGATGAATATATGCGGTGAGTTATTGTCTTACATTAAACTTCATGTTGTTTTCACGTACATCATGTATTTATTTTCGAACAAGAAGAAAAAGCATACATATGAGTTTTAGATGTGTCTTGAGTAGACTCTAGGTATGTGTAAAGTTGATATACTGACTAAAATGACATCAGAATTTTCTACAAAAGTCAAACACAAACTTTATCAAAACTATGCTCTTTCGGTATCGTTCTATTCCGATGCTTCTCTGACACTAGAACTAGTGTGCATTATCTAGATTAAGTCACTGATGTTGATAGTTAGAGACTGTAGTTGCACACATATTGTACACGCTATTGAGAATGATTTTTTTTTATTTATTAAATTATAAAACTTTTTTTTTTCAAGAAATGTTATACAAACTTTGTCGATAGTACGATTTTAATTCATCTAACATGTAAATTGTACTGTTTAGTCTAATTAGTAGACAAGTAATCATTGAATAATTATTACACAATATACTTACGAACTTCTATGTACAAATCATCAACCATAACTTTACACAATTAGTTTTTAAGAAAGAAAAAACCATTGAAAGCCATCTAAATATATTTTTTTCACTCTCGATGCTTTTTCTTGAAACATATTCTC